TTTCTAGACGAAGCCAAAACTGCAGTACAGCTGGAAAACAGAAGTTCTACTGAAGGACAGCCAGGCTGGCGCATACAGTCCTTTATGTGTTGAGAAAAATATAGCGCTGAACAGAGGGAGAAAAGAGCAGGTAAAAGCAGAGAGTGAGAATTGACAATGAGATGTGTGATGGAAATAATTCCCACTCCAGATCACACAGGGATCCAGTGCTGCTCTCCGCTCTGCCTCACATCGTCTCTACTTCCTAGTCTCTATCTGTGCTGCCTCCACCTTGGTGCTTCGATTTGCTCCCGTCTGCACTGTGTAAGATTTTCCTTATTCTGTCTCTTCTGTTTTTGTCCATTACATCTTCTATCATTTATGGTCATTTTTTTCAAGATAAAGACGAAGATAACAATCGTCCCACCCTGCAGTCAAAGAGAAATGCATTCTAATAGAATTCAATGTTTGCCAGAAAAGTTGACAAACTGAGAGCGGGAGGGAAACATATTCATTCTGTTTGGTAGTGACCACATAAATAATAAAATACATATGAAGAGACAGGGGATGCAAAGCCTTACAAAACAAGATGGAGGATTCCCTTGCCTTTGTGACCACACTTGGTTCTTTTAGAATCCAGCCTACATTGAATATTGAATAATGCTAAACAATCGAGCTCAAACTAAAATCATTTTTTGTTGCGGTGAGGAAACAGTCTTTTAGGATTCTTCCAATCAGCCTGATTTATAACATAAGAAACTAGAGATGCACCCAGAAATCAGGTGGTGATTGGAATCAACAGATTTTTTTTTTCTGATTGGCCCTGGTTTGTGTAAAAGCTTCTTGAAAACTTAAAGGTCCAAACTTTTTTAGATCTGCTTTGATGTGGAAAATATTAGTGAAGAAGATTCAGACTTTGCTTTTTTCGGTAGCAAGTTTTAAAATGAAGGCAGAGGAGATATTAAAAAGGGATCAATTGTTTTCATCGTAACAAGTGGTTCAATCAAGTAGCATGAGAGCGAGAGAGAGCAAAACTTCAAGTAGATAAAAGGAGGCCAAATAAAACACAACAGAGTTACTTTTTGCTTTTTGAGCTTTGTAACTATTACAAATGTGAAAATGATGATTGCTTTTTAGAAAGTTTACATTTAAAATGTAAAATGCAAAATTGTGCTTTTGGATTTGTTCTTGAAATGTTTTGATGACAGCAGTAACATTTACTGTTACTAGTGACCCCTGCTGTGAGTATGAACTGGTACTCACAGCAGAAAAAGGCACAAATGAGTAATGACTATTCTAGCAAAAGAAATACAGAACTATGGTCAAGTGATTAAAAAAGAAAGTAAAATACACTATCAAAAAATGGCAAAAGAAAATTAATATTGTTGTGTTTGGCATGCTTGACTTAAATCAAAATTCAAGGTAAAAATAATGAGGCTTTAAGATTTCAAAGCCCTCAGAAGCGGGAAAACCTAATAAATCAGGCCCTGAAGCAGCCAGGCTCTAATTTAAAATTAAAAGCTCTGAAATCAAAACTGATAGCTCTGAAAAACAAATAATAAAATTAATTTAAATCGATTAAAGACATCAGAAAGTAATTGCATTGGATGGTCATATTTTTTTTTCTTTTATAAATGGAGATTTGAAATTAACATAAAAATTTTAATTGGTGCAGCTCTGTTAGAAAATGCTGGATCTGACATTGTTTGACAAAATAATGTAGCTGTAAATCTCGGTGAGTTAAATATATTTAATTATTTGCTGCTGTGTATCTGAAGTTATCTAAATTAATCCACAATCACTCATTCTGTTGCTTTCACAGATCAGATTCACTGATATCAGATATAACTCAATAATTGTAAAAAAGTGACTGCAGGAAATTCATTTTATGAATTTAAAAATGGTTTGTTTTATGATTACATCACGTGCAGGATATGGATGAAAAGAAGAAAGCAAAACAAAGAAGCAAAATCTGACCCTCAGCTGTTGACAAAAACATCTGAAGAATAAAACATTGAAGGAAGAATGGAAAGAAAAAAGGAAAAAAAAACTTTAGTGAAACTAACAATATTGTTTTTAATCAGGAATCCAATAAAATCCAATGAAAACAACAAAAATACTGAAAATATTCCAGAGAGAGAATATGAACAGGCACATCTTCAGACACAGCATACAGGACATTTCCCCCCAGGCTCATAGATCATCAGCAATTTGGGAAGGGCAAGTTTGTTCACTAAATATTTGATGGGCACCCCGAGCTGCAGTCACATTAAAAGATTAATCTTGGCAGCAGAGATGTGTTTATTGGCGTAAAACTGTTACTGTGTGTTTGACTGTGTGCTTATGTGCAGCACAAAGAACTAAATTAATATTGAATAAACAGCGTTCAACCATTGACAGCCCTTTAAACAAACAGCGCAGACAGATAGAGGAATGAAATATCAGTAAACTAATTAAGTTTATTAGAATATTTAAGAGGGCTTACCACATATTTAGCAACTAATTGTCAGAGTAGCACAGACGATACATTCCCTATTTAATCAGCTGTATTGCACAGTATTTTCACAGTTACAAACTAAAAAAAAAAAAAAAAAAAAAAGGTTCTTTTTCCTGCTGACTTTGCTGTTTTTTTCCAGACATAAGAACTAGAAATGCTCAGTCAGCATGAAGCAGCAGATTTATAATCCGAAAAAACCCAGGCCGTACATGAGTTGATATGCTGGGATATTTGGCCCACGGATATTTCGGTGCCCCCTGCTGTTACGACTGAATTAATGTGAACAAGGTGTGACACTGTCTCAGACAGTAGCAAAGCTGCAGAATCAGCTGGATGTATGCTGACAACGGGGAAATCGTTTTTGTTATTGTGGGGAAAACAAAACCAAAAATGATTAAACCGATTTTAACGCTTACCCACTGACCCCCAAAAAAGAAGGAAAAATGTTCAATTAGCAAAATCTTAAAAAATTCCAACCAGTTGAAACAGATCTGAACTGAAAGAAGGTTTAAAACTAAAAAGGCAGAACATTACGACCACCTACCTAATATTGCTTTGGTCTCCCTAACTTTATTGTTTAACTTGTCTTTAATAGTTTTTCACATTGGAGACGAGCTTAAGTAACCAGCGTTGTTCTCCTGTCCTCAGTGTGGTCACTCTGATGGACGACAGAGGGACACTTTAGGGAGATTAGTGAACCAGTGGAGATTTGCTGAGGAGAAACGTAAAGCTGAGCCTAACAATGAATCTCACTGGGCAAGATTGTTTGAAGGGATAAGATCCTCACAAAAATCTGGCTCCATATGGGATTGTGGGCTTGTCTTGTGTGGGACTCTGTGGCTGTAACTCTGTGTGTGAGATAAGCCTCATGGGTAAAGGGTGAGTGTGTGTGGTTTTTGTGTGTGTGTGAAGAATGGATGTTATGTGATGAGAGGGCTGCAGTGAAACTGTCAAAGCTAGGGAGACTATAATAAGGTCTTATTCAAAATGCTTTGAAGCTCGATGGCTTCAAATGCAGAAGCTTAAAAAGCCTAGAAGAATAGAGAAAAAATGAATCTGTCACACTGAAGGTGCAAACATATTTGACCCCCAGGCAACCTGACCAGGGACACATATTTACTTATTTTGTTTTGTTCCACATAACTAAGATTTCCTTCTAAAATTACACAACTTGACCACATCCAGACACATTTTTTCTTTGACAAAAGCAAATATATTTTCCCAGGATGCACCTCTTTAATCGTTTGGATTGTAATGTGTTCTTGTAAACCGCACAAGCAGAGAATTTAGAGACATGATGCAAGTGGCTGCTTTACATCATGACTACTACTATCCATCCCTCAAACCACAACAATGCAGCCATTTTAATTTTTTACAGAGATGTAAAAACATATTTCAATCAAAGCATTAGATGATACACAATCAAGCTGTATTCATGTTTTCTTTGTGAAGAGCCATAAAACAGCATGTGTTGTCAATTAAATTGAAACGATGTCATACTAAGTTGTTCTAATGCCAGAACAAGTCGTCCAATGACATTTTCTATATTTTCACACACAATATAAAAGCATTTTTGTATTTGAGAGTTTGAAATAAAAAGTTTCTTTTTTAACTGTGAAGCTTTGCTTTGGAGCTGAATCAGGAATGGACTCTGGTGTTCACAGACACACCAACTTGGGCTGCAGCTGCCATTAGACACACCTTATATTGCAAGCATCATGTGCTTTTCAGTGACATTGTTGTTCTTTCATATACATCTGTTATTTGCTACTGTCGTTTTTTGGTTTTGATCTGTTTTTGTTCTCAGATTCCTGCCGTTGTCTTCTTGCATTCTCCGTCTTCCTCTTGTTCTCACTTCTATTTCTCTTTCACTCTCTGCCTGTCAACGTTCTTCCCTACATCTGTTCTGTCTTTCTTTTAATTTTCCTCTCCGTCTCGGTGTCTGTTCCTATTAATAAATAAACCCAAGCAAATTCTAAATAATTTTTTTATGTATATAAAGCGGAACATTTGTTTGTTTATTTGGATCCCCAATAGCCACATCATAAAGAAAAAAAAAACATTATTGCAAAAACAGTTACACTCACTTTGTATAACATTAGAAGCTTAGTATAGTAATTTATAAATGTGTCCTTTAAAAATGAATATCATAATGCTTCACTTGTTATTTTTGGTACTCAGAAAACAATGCTCATAGATACACTGTCGGATAGGCATGGGGGGAGGAAAGAAAAAAGAGATGACCCAGATCACATGCTAACTTTGGCTTTTACTACTTTAGAAAAACAACTAGCCCTTTTTTAATATTTTCAAACCTGCCAATTTCGATATTTCCTACTTGGCATCTAAAATGCTGCTACACGAATAATTGAAAAGTAGATTTGCCTACAAATACAGAAAAATATTTTTAAATAAAAAAGCATTAGTAAGCACAACATTATCATAATTAAGATTCTCTTGTTTGAACCAACAACACTATTCAACCCACGGAGAGGAAAAAAGTATTTTTTTTATCCATTCTTACCAAAGTCGACAAAGGAGGACTGCCCGGTGGTTTTTGCTGGACTTGAGACGACTTCCCCCTTGGTGAAGGCCCCGTCCTGGGAGAACAACACAGATGAAACCAGGGAAAGAAGAGAGAACGATAAAATTATGCATCTTCATAAATACTCATACATTTTTCAAATGCTCAACTGTACTCTCGATTGTTTAACGGCCATAAATAAATCAGATATCACTTGAAGTTTGTTTTACAGTCACAGACCCAGTAGATCAATAGGGCAATACAGAAAAGAGGCATCATGATTACCACACCGAAGCAGTAATTTTTTTTCTTCAAAATGGCTTATGGGACATTTTAATGGACCATTTGAGGGGAATAAAGGATAAGTATGACAATTGTGCATTAACATTAGGAATAGGCAGAGCTGGTACATATCCATAAATCTGCTAGCAGGTGCTTAAACGCTACAGATACAACAGCGTTCGCTGCCTTTTTTCCCCATTTGTCTGTAAATGTAACAGTACTTTTTGTTTTGCACACAACAATTAAAACACCAAAGTTGTACTTGAAAGAAATGCATAAAAAAGGAGTAAAAGCAGATCCCGCACTGTTCAAAAATATTTTTAAATGATCCAAATCATTTAAGAGAAAAGAGAAAAACCTCTGGGAGTGAGTTTACAGGTTCCGATGATTTCATTCAAAATAAGAGAACTAAACACTTTTATAACTAAAAGCTCCCCATGTCCTAGGGGACATGGGGAGCTTAGGGGCTCCGTAATTGTTCCAAATTTTGTGAACAGTTTAAGTCAGAATCACACGACCTTTAACCCTCCCACAAACTTAAGATATTGGGTCAATTGGACCCTGCGAGGTTTTTACCCTCTGCGGGGTCTTGAAGATCTCTACACTCTGTTGGTTTTAGGCAAAAATAATTTATACAAATGAGAGTTCCAGAAATAATAAAAAATGTGCTTTGAATGTACAAGCACGTCTAAAACAAACTGGAACAACTTTGATATTTTTGTCACTCATTTCAGAAAAGTGAAACTCTAGTATTGCACAGATTTTTTTATATATATAAAGTGAACTACTTCAAGCCTTTATTTTATGGAGTCTTTGTGATTTGGGCTTACAGAAAATGCAAACTCAAAATTCAGTGTCTCAAAAAAAGAGAATTCTAAAAGATGAATAGGGTATTGTCAAGAGGAAGATAAAAGACACCAGACCCAAAAGTGCAGACGACATACATAAAGGCTGCTATTAAAGCAACCTGGGCTTCCATTACACCTTAGCAGAACCACAGAAATAGTCCACTCAATGTGGAATGAATCTATGAAAGATACAAGTGACAAAAAAAGTTTGAACTTTCTCGCAACATAATTTTCTGAGCTGTATCTGGAAGAAAGGATAAGCTAGACATGAGATAAGCAGGGAAAGCAATGTGTTTATGCACACACATGCACTGAGGGATATATGCCCTGCTGATACTAACATGAGGTGATTCATGGGCGAATCCACCAAAAACAGAAACAAAGGCAGGAAGAGGGCTGGAGACAATGATTTACTAAGTGACCTGCATATACATTATGAAAGAACTAGAGATAGTAAGATTAACCAGGTAAAAACAGGTGCTTGTTGGAGGTGAAGACTATGTTAAAGATTTAAATGACTGGGTATGTTTTTAACCAATTGCTAGCGTCTGGTCGTGATGATGTAATGTGCCAACTAGAGCACGAAGGAAACAAAAGCTGTGTTTACCGGAAATTGCGAGCACTGTAGACCAGTGTTTCCCAACCCTGGTCCTCAAGACACACCGTCCTACATGTTTTAGAATAGATGTTTCCCTGCTTTAATGTGCCTGATTCAACTGATTGCAGTTCAACAAACACCTGTTAATCAGTCATCAATTGAAATCAGCTGGATTGAAGCAAGATAATACCTAAAACATGCAGGGCAGTGTGCCTTGAGGACCAGGGTTGGGAAACACTGCTGTAGGCAACCATCCCACAGTGTGAAAAGTGAATTACTGAGCAGTTAATGAGAGCTGTAAGCTTGAAATGCAATTAAATGTCTTAAACATTTCTCTTGCTCTAATTTTAATTGCTCAATATTTGGAAACAAGGCCAACATGGATTGAATGGCTTTGTTTACTTTCTTTGAACATCTGCCAAACTACGACCATTGCAGACAACAGAAAATCTAACATAACCGTTCAAAAGTCATCCTTTTGTGTGCTGATTGGCCTGGTTGAAATTCAGGAGCGCTGAAGGGAGATGAGAATCGAGATGAACTGCATCGGGATGAAATGTCCAGGCTGAAGATGTGTGTGTGTGTGTGTGTTTTACTTGATGCAATGCGTTGTACAAAATGAACCAATAAAATGCAACAAACCCGAGTTTGACTTTATTGTCTAACTATAAAAAAAAGCAATTCAGCATTTCCTCTTTAAGAAATATGCTGCTCCTCTTTTTCTCTCCCGAGCAAAAGCCGTAAGTTGCTATGGCCGTCAAAGTAAGACCATGAAAGTCTATAACTTATAATCAGCACATAAAAGTATATGGACTACAGTTAATAAAATTCAAAAGTTGTATTCCACGTGATGAAAAGACAAAGCTAGTCTGTTTAACAACACTGGACAGATCCTGGCAATAAAGAAGAGGAAGACCAACATTATAATGCAAAGCGCCCTCCATGGTATTGATTTTCTGTGCTAAGAGAAATTCCACAATACCACAAGGATTAAATTGCCAACAAAGGCAATTTAGAGGGAAGTCTTGGAACAAACATGAACAAACAGTCTATCAGATGGAAACTCAATTTGATGAATTTGATCATAAACTGAAATGAACGCCATAAAATATAATTTTTGGATGTTCAGTGTGTATGAAGTAGTTATTCCAAAATGCCAATAAATTATAAACCACAAAAGCCCTTTCTCCCTCCCCCCTCCAAGATTCATACAAATAACTGAAACTTGGACTTAATTTGTTTTTGCCAAAATATAGTTTTAAAAATCTAATATCTCCACATGGTCTGCCATAAATCAGGAAACTATAAAATGATAAAGAGCAGCAGAAAGAATGACTTATGACATATATATTTTTCACTTTACTTAAGCTTTGGGAGAGAAACTAATTGGGAACACAAAGGGCCAATCGAATCATCTCCCAAAGATTTCCAGCACCAACAGAAAGATTAAAGGAACTGTACATTTTAATGATAAGAAATGTATCTGTGTGTACTATTCACTACCACTGCAAAGAAAACCCAAATAATCTTGCATTTTTTATAGTTTTTAATGTTAGTTTTGGTGAAAAATCTGTTCAAATGAAGTGAGAAAAAAACACGAGTGACATTAAGTGTTGATAATGTTATTATTTATTGTTCCATTCTATTCATCTGACCAATACAATTTTGACAACTCGGCCAATGTTCATCTGATAAAAAACTGGTGCTGTGACATGCATCAACAATGCCATCTAAGTAATTTTTATAAGCCTTTTTATCTTTAGTGTAGTTTTGAAATGTGACCACTGTTGAGCATATTTAAAAAGTGTGGTGCAAAGTATTTCAACCATCCATTATAGAAACGACTCATCGTGCTAACTCCCTCCTGAGACATTAAGATTAGGAGACTGATGACTAGTGCTGCCAAAGTAAACGTCCCGTTAGATTTATGTTGCATCTTTCGAGTCAGTTAGTATTTCTATGTTTTGACATCTAGATGGGTTTTTTGCATGACTGCTCATCGCTTATAGAGTCGTCAAAAAGGATAATCCTAATGGGCCACATATTGCATTTGAAGCCAGAGACATCATTATTGGTCCATTGCAACATTTGAATAGACAATGCATAGGTTCTCATTCACTCAGACCTAACACACAAAGGTTTCATATAACTTTTCATATCAAGAAGTGGGCGCAACATGCAACTACTATAAATAACTCTTCAACATCATTACATTTTACTCACTTTTACTAATATTTACCAGACTTAGAAACAATCTATTCTGCAGAAAGCAGATCAGGGTTTCTGGTCACTCATGGACTTATGGTGTCAACTTGAGTATGAGGGATAACATCTGGGTGATTGACTGCTGCTGGTTCCTTAATTGCAGTGGAACATGATTAAAAAAAGTGAGTGTGTTTGAGGACGGCCAACTGATGTGTGAAGATTAAGGGATTACACGCTCTAGAATTGCTGATGCCATATGTTCAAATTACCCCAAATACATTTCTCTTTCATTCAGAGAGGAACACGCATAGCTCATATCTGAAAACAAAGAGAAAATATATTCTATTTTTAAATAAGTGTTGGTAAAACCACTGTATTTGCTAATAGGTGATATGATAAGAATGTCATTATCATTGGATTAGGGTAACCCTTGATGGGCTGTCTGTATTCATGTAAGCGCAGTGAAACAAATCCTTTCGTGTTGCTTCTAAGATCGAAATAACGATGCCAAGGCGGCTCAAACATAGAGATGGATAATATAAAAGCTGCCTTGCTATTTTCTTTGATGTGATAACAACTAAAGAATACTCTAGCTGCACAGCTTGGTTTATTTACTGTCACAAGGAATTAAATTCACACTAACCACTGGCAAGGAAATAGAAAACAATGAAAGACTGTTTGGGGGTTTTTTTCCTCTGGAAATGTAAACCAAAACATTTCCTGCAACTTGCTTCCACTACTCTGCGTTTAAAATGAATATTTTATGTGTTACCGCAGTTTTTCTCCCCCTTGGTGAAATGGTGAAATTACAAAATTGAAAATCAGAACACTGACATGTTTGTGCAGCAAAGCGAAGTTTGTTCCGGTGTCACCAATTGAATCTATCATGTCACAGATCTGACCTTTTGCACCGCTTGGTAACTCGCTGGCTGATGCGTCTCTCTGTATATCTCCTACTTTATTTCCACTGCTATGACTTCCCTCTCTTGTGTAATCACAAGAAAACAGTGGAACGGGCAGTGATGGAATAAGACTAAGGCAGTAGAAAAACCTAGGCGATTAATTAAAAAAAAGTGGTGGAAGAAAAAACACAAACAAGTGAGAGTCTACTGGCCTGTGACCGATAGATACAGCTGAACAACATGAAGGGATTAACAGCGGTCTAATGCTGATGGCTTGCTGGGAAATGGCATGGTCTTCCGTGTTTGACTATATTTTCCCAAGCGTAGGAGTATGCAACCAGAACAGGTTTTAGTGTTTTGATATTAGGACTTGTTGGTGTGCGTGATAAATTGGTGCATTGAGGATGAAGGTCATTAGAGAAAAGCAACACGACACAGCACGGAAAAAGCTTGCATGAAAGGAAGCAATTTGGCTTTTTTAATGGGAAGAAGTTGAGAATAAGATGGCAGTCATTCATAAAGTGAAGAGGGTTTATTTGGATAAAGAAGAGGCTCCATTCATCTGTAAATCAATCTGTACCCTTACTTTTTCTAGCACCCAAACCTTCGCTTTGTCCTTTGATTTTAAAGGCTTCATTTTGCAGAGTAAGTTATCCTTTGGCACACTGGAGTAGATGGACAAAGGAACTGAACCTTTTACATAAATGAGAAAAGATTCAGATAGTTTCTTTTATACAGAATAAACACAAATGGAAAAACTGACTAATAAACTGCTACTTTAGCTTAACTATTGGTCTATTAAGAACAACCATTCAACTAAATTAAATAAACTCAAATTAAATCAGATATGTGCTATTTAATTAAGCTTATTTACTGACCTGGACAGAACTAATGTGGAAAGTAGTCTCATTTGGATTTGCTATCACACTGGCTTTTATGATGTGAAAATGTCATCTGCCCCAAAAAATTCAGATTGGCTCAAACTCGGATATGAGAACAGAATTTAGGGTCTCCAGTGAATGAAAGCTGCTCGGTCAACTTACATAATTCTAGATGGATCTTTCCAGATTTTCTTTACATTCTTAAATATTATATGCAGCATTTGAAATGTATAAAGAGTTCAAAGTGCTTCTAGTATGACCTAAAGAGCCCATACAAATGTAGATAAGCTGCAGGGAAACTGTGCCAAGCAAAAATAAATAAAAGGTGAATGCTTGGGTTTGGGCTTGGGTGTCTTTATAAAGAACATTGATTATGCCACATCCAGGGTTGAAGTAACATATGTAAACTCTATATTTTATTAATATTGTAAATGCTCTAATATGCTAGGATATCAGTTATTTAGCAAAATTACATTTTTAAAACTTTTCTGATAAAATTAACGTCTTAGATTAATATTTACATACACACTAGGGCTGAAACCATTCCTCGAATGATTCGAGTACCTCGAGTATTAAAATTCCTTGAGAAAAATTTACTAGCCTTGAAGCTTTGTTAATTCATGTTTTATTATTTAGCGCACCGTGTTCCGGCCGGGACATTATGTGCGATATGATTAGCTCTGACTTCTGCTCTGAGTTGTTGACGAATGCAAATGTTAGCAGCATAACATCCAATTTTCAAGTTCGGCTTGTTCGGATTTTATTGATTAATGATGATGTCCGGGTCTTCATAGTTTTAGGGGGACCAATAAGCATCCTTCAAATGATTGGCGCGATGCCTGGAGTACGGCAGCCTTTCTCCTCCAGGAGCGAACGGCGGGAAGAGCGAGCAGAAGTATTTATACAGATGAGCAGGTAGAATGAACACGGCAGGCGGCTGAATAGCTGATGGTTACAGTGTAAGTGTAGCTTTACGGACGAACAGCACAATAAATTTCATATCATCCTGGTCTCAACATGGCTGGTCAATGAATTTCTTAGTGTGATGAACGAAGGTGCTGTAAATATCCCATATTGTTCGTTCTTATGTATTTTCGTCCCCTGGTCTACAGGTTCCCGGACTTACGTTTGTCTGTCCCCTGGTCTATTTCCCCCCTCTTACATTCATTCACCTGCCCCCCCACCAACACCCAAGCCCCCAAACTCCAGGAGACATTTCCTGTATTCTCAAACCCAAAGCTCGACAAGTTTGGGGCAACATGAGAGTGCATCTATCAAACTGACTGAAAATTAATACAAAAACTAAAAGCTGGAGTATGGATATTTTTATAAGCATATTTTTGAGCTTACCTCTTTATTATTAAATTTAATATAATTTCAGATCTTTGTATTACTTTTCTTCTCGTTATCTTAGAAAGTGAGTGAAAACTCCACTTCTTTCATGTGTTTTTTTTTTTTTTTTTACTTAAACTGCTCTAAAACTGTTCAGTCCATCCATCACACTTCTGGTCTTAGAGCAGAGCAGTAAGTTTGTTTTGTTTTGCTCTTGCTTGATTTTCTTTCCTCCTCCCAAACATTCTAACTTTGCAGAAATCCTCGATCTGTTTTTGCTTAGATGCCCTTCTTTCCTCTCTTTTCTTTTTCATATTCCCTCTCTCTGTGATAAGATAAAGTACTGTCGAGCTTCTGAATCAACCTGCTGCATTTCAAACAGGCTCCTCTGACAAAAACCAAGAGCCGCGGTCTCCCCTTCCTGCTCTCCTAGAATATCAAGTAGATGGGTGGCAGTGCCAGGATATCCAGGAAATCCAGGAAGTTCCACGATACGTCCAATGAACTTATTAATGTTTGTATTATTTGCTTTCAAGTGTATAAGGTAATATAAGAATAAGTTAAAAGTACACTTCAGACTAAATGCTCATTCTTATTTGAGAATAAAGACTTATAAAATGTGCTTAGATCAGCCTCTGGATCAAATAGGACATAAGGATTATGTAAAACAAATAAGATATCAGAAAACACCAGTTTTAGAAATGTTATGCTAAACTCTCATTCTATTGTATTGTGATTCTAAATCACCATATATATTTTGATAAAAGTGTTGAGAGTTTTTGTCCAGTGTAAAGATAAAGCTTTAGGTTGATAAGGATTACTTTTAAATATGAATGTCAGTATTTTCCACTTGCCAATATCAGAGCATCCAACAGCATAACAATAACTGTGACCAACAGGAAATAACACATAGTAGATTGTTAAATTTTAGAATAACAGTTTTGTTCTTACCCAAAGCTCAAGGTGTATTATTTTGTATCTTACCATGTTCGTGTATCTGCAAACATATTTTGGATTTTCTAAACGTGAAAAATGTAAGTGTATTTTGCAGAATATAAAGTCCAGTCATGTGTTATCAATTCAAGTTCCTCCGAGCATTTAACATGCACAGGTGGATGAATCTTCATCAGCCCAGACAGAGGGTCTGCTTTGCACAGCATGACATTAACTAATTTTATTATTGGATCGTTGCTAAAACTTTTACACAAGAGTTTCCATAAGCAGTGGCTTAGCTGAAGATAAACCTGTGCATGCTAAAGTAGCAGATAAGTAGAAAGTCGATGGAGCTTTTTAAAAATAAAGTTGGGTTTCTTCACACATTATTTAAAACAAACTGCTGAACTTTGAATCTGAACTGACAACAATATAATCGACATCTGTTACCTTATTTAGCCAAGTCTCAAAGTTCCCATCTTCAGTTGTCAGGAACAAATCTGTTGTAAGAAACAAAGTCGAGAGAAAAGAGAAGGCAAGTTATTTGATGGGATATTATTTTTCCATTTGGTCATTATTCTTCAAATAAAATTGTTGAAATGACAGTGTGAGTAAGCCCAGGGTAAAGCACATGAGAAAAATTGCAATCAAAACCTGCACATAAAACTGTGGGATTTTTTTCCCCCTCCAATTATTATTATTAAGTCAGAATTTCACACCCACATTCTGCAAACTGAATATAAACAAACTAAAATGCTGAGATGACTGCAAACTGAAAAGAAAAGAAAAAGAAAGCAGTTTTCTCTGACTTCATTTAGCTGATGGAAATTCCATTTATTTTATTTATTCACTGTTAAACTTGCACAGGAGAAAGAAAGACCGATCAAAAAACAAATCATGTTGAATCAACTTTGTCTAGAAAGACTTTTGGTATAATTAGTATGATAGCAAAAATGTACACAAATAAATTCACTTTTTTTTTTGTTTTTTTTTTTAAACATCGACTCCATTAGATTTAATTTTTCTAAACAAACTTGTAGGTGCACCAAAAAATGAAGTATGAACTGCAACACTTTTAATGTTTGTTTGTTGAGAATAAGTGAAATTGCTGGCAAGTGCACTGTCACCTGATGACTCACAGAACCTGCTGATGAACTTTTAAATTTAATATGGATGACAGAAAACTTTCAGATCAGTGAGGACAAAAGTGAAGTTCTAGTACTTAGCACAGCCAGTCAGAGAACGGAACTGTGTCATTTCAAACACCGACGGTAAATGTTTCATATTGAATAAGTAAAAGAAAATCTTCAGACTTGAGCAATGTCGCATCAGAAATAATACAGGTATGAACCGAATCCCCTAAAGAATATTACAGATGTTTATTTTACTCAATTCAAAAATGCAAATCATACACATTCATCACAAGAAGAACAGATACTGCCACACTTTGCATGGTCTTCCCAAGAGGAGCACAGCTCCATTATGTATGAAAATAGAAATATTATAAAGAGGCAATGTATTAATGAACAAAAGAAGCTTAATTACACAGTCACCTGTAGTATGTTTTGTATGAAAATCTATTAAAGATTAGCTTCTTTGAGCAGTCAGAGGGAAAACCAGGCAAAGAAAGGAAAAAGAAATACATATAATGGAGAAAATATGGTGCTCGGAGCAACAGGATTTCTCTGAGCTTTCTCAGGTCTTCGCCCCCTGGTAATGCCTGTAGCTTTCGCTATTGGAATCTTATAACCCTGCACTTGTACTTATATTGCCTGCGCTTGAAGCTTCAAGCTGCAGGCTGCACTGTTAATGCGGTTTTCTGTGTGCTTCTCTGTGAGACCACGATTACTTTAATCGCCGTGTTCTGTGGCTCTGCCCCAATAATTGGACATGAAATAAATATCGCCATTGATCTGCCTCAGAGCAGAGCTGGGCTCGGTGCGTTGCAGTGCTCTGCATGGAAAAAAAGAAAATTTGAAGTGATAATGGATTGGGAACAAGGAAAGTAGGAAAGGTTGCTGCATTAGTGAGGGGAACAGTGGAGGTCCTGCATAATGAACGTGGCAACGGCAGACATTTTACATCGAGTGATTGCCTCCAACGCACAGCTGTCGCCAGAAGCGAGTTTAAAGTGCGGCAGTGGGATTTGTTAGGAACGATGTGTGAAACTATAGACCCACATCATTTTATAACTAAAGAACAGACTTTAAAGTACTTCTGTTGGTTTATAAATTGTTGAATGGCATAGCAACAAAATGCATTAAAAGGACAGTATTGTGTAAAATCTACTTTCATCATGTTATAATGTTGTTCCTTCATCAAAAGCTTACACGAGTGCTACTTTAATGCTGTCATGAACAGAAATCATTTAATCTCCTGTGGTATCTATTCAGCTGTGCAAAATGCCTCATGTGCGGTGCGACTAGTCCATTCAGCTCCTTCAGACTAGCCAGCAGCAATTGGATGATGGAACTAAATTCATATACATATATAAAAAGGACCTGAAAGCATTTTGACAGATGGAAAAAAATATATATATATAAATATAAAAAACAAATGAATTCACAGTGAGCATTTGCAGAGCTCATCATAAACGCTACTTCTCAGTGAAAATCTGGTTAAATAAATAAATAAATAAAAATTGATAAAGTTTGCGACTTTGTGAGGACTTCCTGAAGGCTGCGTGTCGGAAAGAGCAGGTCCAATTCATCAGTGTTAATTTAAAAAGCCAAATTTCTTTTGAGTCATATTTGATCTGTATAGCATTTTGATAACACATGAAGGCAACATTGCTTCTTAACTGTGCTATAAAATGGCACTATGTGTCTGGAAAATACATAATACTGCCCTTTAAAGATCTGCTCTTGTATCAACCTTCCAGACCTCTCAGGTCTTCTGGTTCTGTTCTGCAACCAGAACCAGACATGGAGAAGCAGCATTCAGCTTCTTGACGCCTCAAATCTGGAACAAACTTTCAGAAAACTGCATAACTGCCGAAACAATTAAGGCTAAAGACCCACCTGTTTACAGTTCCCTTTGATTCATAATGACTAGCACATTGATCAACACGTTTAATGTATATTTGCTTGATGATTTTGATGATGGCATTAGACAAAATATAATGTTTATTGCTTGTTTCATAATTTTTTTGTTTGTTTGTTTTTATGGTGTAAAACGCTTTAAACTGCCTTGTTGCTGAAATGTGTTATTCAAAGAAACTTTACAATAGGACTAAATATTCCACAAGACTTGTGACTCACCTCCATCCTCACACAGAGAACTTAATCAAAGGGATTTTAATTTATTACTTGGGCCCAAAAATACCTCAGAATTCAATCACCATCAGGCCCAGAGTCTGATTAAACCTTTTCCTAAGCAACAAAAACATCTAAAACAGCTAAGAATTAAGTATGATTCTGAAATATAACTACATAGTTACAGACATCCTAAAATCTCAGCATCCCAACAATCAACTTTGGTGATTTACTAGTGAATATTTTCAGATTTAGGATTTGTTCATTACTACAACCTCAAACTAAATGCCTCTTTTTTTCTTTTTACAACATTAAAACCCAGAATTCTAAACTTCAAACAAGTTGTGAACATGAATTCAGAACATTTTACAAAAACAAAGCAAGTAACCATTTCATGCATGCATTACACGCAGACCGCAGGGTTCACACTGAAACGCTCGCTGTGTGTTTGTCCTTCTCCTCATTGCTGTGTGCGTCCTGTGGCCTCTACGGGTGGCATCTTGATGAGCTTAGTTAATCAGCCAATCAGGCCTCTTAGACAGAATCCAGCCGGGATTGGCTGATTAGCCGTGAGTCTGCTGATTCAGTGAGAGGAGCATGTTGGAGCAGAGTGATGCATTCGGAGATCTTCATTTGTAAACTCTTATTGTTGTGACTGTGGAGCAGGTCCTCCACCTCCCCACCGATTGGTGTTAAAAGAGAGATGAGCAGAGACTGATCTCCAGAAATAAAATCTGCTGTTGTGCCCAAATGAAAGACCTTTTGAACTTTTTTTCCTAAAGTCTTTATTAGTTCACAATATAATAAACCCATAAAGAACAAATTAAGTAAAATGGACTTTTTTTTAGCTTTACATCAGGTTATAATGTTATTCCCTAGAAAAAAAACATACATTGAGTGTTGCTTTGATTTAGCAGATTCACTTTTTTTTTTTATGCATGTTTGAGAAATCCTTTAATATCCATGGCAACCATTTAGGTTTGCAAAACGTCTATGTGGTTCTAGCTCTGCCTTTGAGGACGAAGCTCCTCCTTGGAGCTGCAAGTTCCAAGTTTCTGAGCTTCCGCCTCACAGAGCAGGCCCCACCTGCAATTCCACCCCCTAAGCTCCTTCAGACTAGCCGTCAACAATTAGCAAACACCAGGTGGGACTGTGAATCTGCTGTGCTCATTATGAGCTAGAGCAAAAAAAATTTATTAAGGGGTGATGACTTCCTTAAGGCAGTTTCAGAAAGAGCAGGAGAGTCAATTTCAAGATGTTAAATCAGGAAGGAAAATTTATTTTGAGTCACATATACAGGATTTTTTATAATCACTGAAGTTCTTTTTGTGACTTGGTTGTGCTAAACAATGGCATTATGTGCCTGGAAAACACATAATACTGCCCCTTTAATATGAAACCTAAGTGGTGCTACTATTGTTTAATGTAACACAGTTTTACTTTTTCAAATTAAGAATCACATAAATGAGGACAGAAAGACAGAGACCTCCTTGTAATAATCTCATTATTTTAGCATATTCTAACATGGTTTAATTTCACAAACTGATTCTGAATTAGCATGAGTGTCTTGGTAAATTGGACCTGTATTGTTTGTCTGGTTCAATATTCAAATCGACTTCCACTAAAGAGCAATTACCTTCAATTTACTGATAAAAAAAAATAAAGAATCCAATTACCGTCTGTTTTTAAGTTATATTAATATTATGTTCTGTAGAATAACAATAACTGAGCTTGGGATGTTATTGTCTTTAGTAATTCAGAAAGCCTGATTATTGTAAAAACAATTAACCCAGCACCTGGTAAAGTGGTGAAACTCCAAAGAGCCAAAAGCTACAGTGGCTCTGCTTGAGTCATTCTTTTCAGGAGTTTAAATCAAGGCAAACTTGTTGTTTTTTATCCAACTTGGGATCAATTAGTGGCTTGATGGAAGGTTTTTTTCATAGCACAATTCAGATTCCACATATAATCAATGTAAAGTTGTATGAAATGTTATTACTTTTTAAATGATTTGGTATGCTATGAATGCAATTTCATCAAACTGAACAAGACAAGATGATGGCCTGATATATGTGCAGGTCTAATACTGGAGTCAGAGGAGTATGTTTTAATGTTATTTTGCACTCTTTGCTCTGTAAGTCAATAAATGGAACAAAAAAGAATGAAATTCAATCATATTTTGACAGATCAAAATATGATAAGAGAAAGGAATAATAACCTAATGGTAAATTAATTAATCTCATGAAAAC